ATCTTTTGATATTGATAAATCCGCGTTAAAGGAAAGGGGTTTACTAAGCCATACGTGCAAATTGAAAATTTCCTGTTACAGCTTTGTGGTGGACGTTTGGTTTGTGATTGACCAATTTCCAACGTCGTAACTGGTAAGGCTTTGGCTAATCCCATACGACAGCAACGTAAAACGAGAGTAGGAGACCCTTCTTCTTTGGGTTCCCAATTTTTTTTTGGATTTAGCAAAGACCAAACAGTCATTATCTTTTGCTTCTAATTTTGGAGGAGGATGATTTTTTGTGTTCTTTAGTTTTTCCCCTTTTCCCATTTGGTTTGTCTGAATTGGTTTCTCTTTTAGAAACATCTATCTACATCTTTATATTTATGTTAAATTTTTTTGGTACATAGAAGGGCTAAAGGCCCTACTTCAGGACAATTAAATAAATTTAGGATATCCTATTCCTACCATGTTAGCAAGTAAGAGAAATTCCAATTTATCGAAAATTTGCTGATGTGTTTGGATGCTTGGAAATTAAGTTGAGTTTTCATTGCCCAGTCAATCTGCAATAGTTTTTTTTTTTTGCTTAGGGATGTGTGAGACTCTCCATTATTGTTGCAATTTCACTTAAGGTACTCTTATGTATTTCATTTCAATCACATACAAATTATATTTAAACAAGAATGACTTCTGTTTATCCAAAACATGAAAAAAATAAATGCAGATAATACTACAAAAACTCGCTCTATATTGATGCTTAAAAAATCATCAATAAAATTTAAAAATCCATTGATATAGCATAATAAATCTTATATTAATGGTCAAAATATTTATTTCAATGAATTTATAATCATCAATATATCTTTTGTTGGTATAAATCTATACTGACAATTTTTAAACTGTCGAAATATGTAACAGAGATATACTGACGATGTTAGTTTGTCACTATATGTATAGCTGTTGGTATATCAACTATTGTGTATTTCGCAATATATCTTTTACCGATGGTTATTCCCGTCAGTATAGACTCATATGTTTTAATTTTTTCAATTGATACTGACGATATCTCCGTCAGTATATTTTTTATCAATGGTCAATATTTGTCAATATAGCCTTATGTGTTTTAACTTTTACTGATGGTCTCTGATGATTGTTAGTATAGCTTGAAATATTTTAATAGTAAAATGCGTTGGTATAAATTTTAATGCATCGATAAAAACTTTTTTTTGAATTATATTTTGAATTATTAATATTAATTTATTTATAATCATAATATGATATGATTTCATATAAAGTAAAAATACACAAAAAAATAAAAATATTTAATAACATTTGAAATAAAATAACAACCAAATTGTTTTATAATTCACAAATTTAAAATAAGTCAAGAATTATCGTCATTGTACTAAATCTCAAAAAAAGAACATTAATATTTATGATTGAATGTCTACAAACATGGTGTTCAAAGTAAACAAGTAACTCCCCAAAGTAAGATGATGTCATTCCAAGTTGGTCCAAATACCTGTTTAAGTAGTAAAACCCAATAAAGAATTTCATGTCAAATTAAGCTTTTATCGGTCAATTAAGATAGAAAATGTTCCCAAAGTCAAGTTAAGCATACCCGAAACTATAAATAAATGAATTGCTAACAAGATTTTGTCCACTATTATATGCTCCCCTGTTTCACCAATCTAAGCAACTGCTGAAGTTATTGAATTCTTTAGAATTGTTTGAAGGTCTCTAAAAGGCTGCTGCCCACCATCTAGATAAGATGTATATGGGATTTTGTTCATAAATTGATTATCATTATTTATATAGAGGGAAAATATATAATTTAATAATTGAATTCTAGGAAATATTTTTTAAACAATGCATTTTACTATTTTGTTATACTTGCACCAAGGCTGTAAATGTGTTGAGTCACTATTTGTAGAGATTTGGATTTTTTTGTACAAATTGTGTAAATCAATTTGCATCAAAGAATCCTCTTGGGGCTATTACTAATGATTGAACCTCAAATTTTTTATATATATTTTGAATAATATTTTGAAAATTATTCACATCAGATACATATTGATATGCTGCAACTCTTGTTCCAATGCTGGAGCCACACAATTCATTTCCTGATAAGCCATATTGTTATTTAAGAAATTCCATTATTTTAGATAACAAAAAATGTAGAAAAAGAATTTGCTAATGAAAAAATAAAAGTAAAATTATCATTTTTTTCCTACACATTAAATTGCATATTAAGGGAGAGATTTTACCAAGTTTCTATTCATGAATGGTATAGCTCTGGTTGATAGTGTATCTAGTGAGCAATTCAGCATTACTAGAATTTCAAGCTCCCATGACAGAATCATCTAGACCTACAGTCTTCTCATTTAGTGCATTTAAGTCGAAAATGACCATAGCCCTATATTGGAAGTAATAGGCATTAGATCCAGGTAAAAGGAAACTTTATCTACCTGTTTAAATGTTAGGAAATAGACAAATTACAAAGTTCATGAATATGGTAATAAAGTTTACTTACCTAGATTTTTTGAAGTAAATGTTAAGTTCATCGTATCTAGACATGGGTAAGCAACCTTTCGAGAAACCAAACATCTCTGAGTTATTTTTAATAAATGGTGCACAAGGAACCTTTGCTCCATTTTTTTTTATTGATTTTAATCACATATGATCGGTTTGATTACACCTTAATATGGTAATAATCTGCCATCATTTACAAATTTTGACCAAATAGAGAAAATTTTGTCAACCAATTACGATAAAATATTAAAAAGAAAATGCATTACCAAAACTACCAAAAAAATGGAAATTATGTTTTGCCTGAAGTGAACCTTAAACATTTAATTGTCTTAAGCTATTACTTCTTCACAAAACATTCAATCATCAAAGCCAGCGCCAGTAAAAGGATAAAAAAAAAAAGGGATGCTCGATGACACCAATTGAAATACAGAAAATAAAACATACCTTTGAGAAATGACGAAAGTCTTGATGCTTCAACTTTGATTCAATTTTAAAACAAAATGGGTGCCGATGGGTTTAAGTTTGTAGAGTTGATGAGATGTGGAGAGAGTTCATACGAGATGAAGATTAGGCTACGAGTACCGACTGATGGAGAGATTTGGTAAAAGGTGAAAATTAAATATGTAGAGTCAATGAGAGGTGGAGGGAAAGAAAATGATTTAAATATTTTGAAGATTATTCAAGGCCTTAAATAATCCCATTCAATTTTTTTGTAAGAAATTATTCAATGCGTTTTTAGTCAGAAAATGCATTGAATAATCTCTTATAAAAAATTGAATGGGGTTATTCAAGATATTGTCTTTTTTGGCTAGAAAACGCTTTGAATAATCTTTTTCCATTTTTTTTGGATTATTCAAGGTGTTTCTGGAAAAAAATGCCTTGAATAATTTCTTACAAAAAATTAAATAGAGTTATTCAAAACGTTTTTTGGCAAAAAATATTTGAATAATCCTAAAAAAAATGGGAGGGAGATTATTAAAGTTATTTTTAGTAGAAAATGTCTTGAATAATCCCTTTGTAAAAGGGGATTATTCTTAGTCTAATTAATACCTTTTAATTACAAAAATATTAGAGTAGTTCAATTAGTTAGAGTATATAATTGATAACTATAAGGTTGTAAGTTTGATCCCTACCTTTAACTTGTTGAAGGCATTTTTTGCCGCATTGAATAATCCTGTCCCAGAAGGGATTATTCTTAATCTAAATAATACATTTTAATTATAAAATCATTGGAGTAACTTAATAAGTTAAAGCATACAATTGTCAATTATAAGGTCGTAGGTTCGATTCCTCTCTCTATTTTTTTTTGGATTTTTCAAGGGATTATTCAAATAATCCCCTCCAAAAAAAGATTGGATTATTAAAGGTATTTTTGGCAGAAAATACCTTGAATAATCCTATCTCAGATAGGATTATTCTTAATCTAAATAAGACTTTTTAATCATAAAAATATTGGAATAGCTTAATCGGTTAAAACATATAGCTGTTAACCATAAAGTTGTAGGTTTTATCCTTCCTTCTAGCATTTTTTGGATTTTTCAAGGGATTATTCAAAGTGTTTTCTGGTAAAAAATACCTTGAATAACCTCGGGTATCTCACTTTTTCAGGGATCATACTTTTTTCTGGAATCTACGATTTTACGAACCAAATGCCCCCTAAATTCTTTTTCAAATAAAAGTCAATAGTTTTTTTTTTTTTGTTTTAAGTCAATATATAATATATTTATACTAATTGATAGTCATATACTGTTAAAAAAAGTTTATTTATACTGATGGTTAAATAAAATGTTGGTATAATTATGGTATATTCTAACAGTATTAAAAATTCGTCAGTAAAAATCTCTTTTACTAATGCAATTTGATTGTTAATATAACCAAATGTTAGTATATGAAACATTTTTTGTGGAGTTAAAATGCTCAATGTGTTTCTTGTTAAGGTGTCAGTCTCATTAGGGGTGTAATCAAGTCGATACAGTGAGAAGCTCGAGCTTGAACTCGACTCTCAACTCGCGGCTCGATTCTCGGCTCAAACTCGATCGAGTTTCATTTTTCTAGCTTGAGTTCGATTCGTGATCGAAATCAAGTTACTCGAGCTTGCTCGATTAAGCTCGATTAATATATAAAAATAAGCTCGATTCGTATACTCACAAGAGTTTAATTATTTGTGCTTGAGCTCGAACTCGAATTCGATATATTTTATTAATTAAAATAATAAAAATATATTTAAATATAAAAGCTTGATTAAGCTCGCGAGTTACTCGAGCCAGGCATAAGAATACTCAAACTCGGCTCGATCGATGAGTCGAACTACTTGACCTTAAGCTCGACTCGATAATAATCGAATCGAATTCGAGTTTTATTCGAATCAAATCTGAATAACTTGCGAGTATTAATGTATCATTTACACCTCTAAGTCTCATCACCTTCAGAAAGGGATAAATGCATATTTTTTTAATAATTGAAGAATTAATGCTGAAGTGGGAGTAGGTATTCAAGATTTACAACAATGGGGTTTCTCATAAAAATGGATGCTATCCTTTTTCAGCAGAGATGGAAAACATCAACATCACAATTAATAACTTCTCCGTAATTCATGTTTCAGTTGTATGAGAAAACCTACTGAATTACATGGGAGGGGAAGAAATTCTTTTTCCTCTCCTAAAGCTTATTACTCTCTTTCTGAAATCCGAATGTGAAACTTCTAAACTGAAAATCTAAGTTTGAATGTATTACCAAGATGGTTGAGGAATCCTTCTTGGCCATGGTGGGAGCACAAAAACAAGCAGTTGATGAGAGTAGAAGTTCCGACGAACTACTTCCAGTTTCCTTGTCCCAAGGCTATATGAAACCAGGCAACCTCCATAACCCAGATAGACTATATCAAAACCATGAGGGTGTAGAGCCAGAGGGAAAATGAAGAAATTATATTTGGGTATAAATTTATTGAGTTCATCCTGATCAGACCAAGAATCAGAAAATCTAATCCTATATTGCAGACACCATTCTTGAGCATCATTGTCTGAAAGAACCCATACGCATAAATTGCGTGGTCCTTGACATGTATCAGTCACCTCAAAGTAACGAAAATGTCCACGAGACACACCCAGGAGTGATAGGTGCTCACTTTCTTTCCCATTAGGCAAGTTCATAAACTGGAGTTGGCTTGTTTCTTCGTCAGGATTGTATGTAAGGATTTTGCTGTGGCGAAACTCTAGCCAATGTAAACGATCATTGTAATGCACAACTGGACAATCCGTCTTAATGTAATAGTCAGGAACGGGGCAGTGTACCATTGAGCAGTGCCATTGGCCAGTCTCGGAAGAGAAAGTTTCCAATTGTAAAATGTTGGATGAGTTATCAGCTGTTGGAATCCGAACCACGTTGAAGCGGTCATTTTTGCTGATGAAACCAATTGCAACGGATTGTAAGGCTTGGAGAGGTTTGGGGAGAGCAATCCATTGCCTGATAAGTGGATTGCAGATGTAGTAATTTTTCTGCCAGTAAAAGCTTTCAGAACATAACAACAGACCATTACTCGATGCCAGGATCTTTATTGGGCAATCCTGTTCAGAAGGAAGGTAGTTTAATGAAAATCCTGGCAATGAGAAATCCTGGAATTGTTTCAGAGCAACACGTTCATCTATCATGCTAGATGGAAGAATTCTTACTTCGAACAAGTAACGGAAAAGAAGGTTCCATGGTTGAGATGTAGACAAAGATAAGCTATCGTTGATTCTAGTGGCATAAGAGCGGGCAAAAAAAGGATCAGAAATCAGTGTGAACCATCTCCTGGAGACGCATTTATACATGAAGATGTGTTTAACTGGCAGGCGTAGAAGGATCTGGGTCAAAAGCCAATCAGGAACATCATAGTCATCAATTAAAATTTTTTCTGCTAGTGTTCCCTTCAAAATTTCTGACATCCTGATCAACTCAAGAACCAATTCCTTTCTCTACACAGGAGCTTGCAAATGTCTAATTATCCTGCAGCAAAAATCTTCATTGCTTCCATTTTGCCCTTCAGGTTGCTTTTCAGTGAATGAAATTTGAACATTGAAATATCATCATCATTTCTCGAGATTTTAATTGAGTAATAGAATCAAAGAATGGTTCCCGAGGGATACCAGGTCAATGGTTGCTGTTAGCCAAAATGACTGCTTTAGAAAGCTATCCATTGAACTAAAAATTTAATGGTCTTAGGAATCACACGACCCTCATCTCTAATTCAAGCCTCCTTAAATATAGGTTTCCATTCAATACGGCGTGAGATATCTAAAACAAAATGCTACAAATACACAAAATTATTGTGTGGACTGTGGCCTCTTATGATTGACAGTTGACGATTTGATTGAGAATTCCGGTTGAAAGTGAATGTTCAATTTAAAGACATCAGCTTCCTATATATTCTTAAAACAAAATTCTGATGGTTAAGAATAGGCATTTCAAACAAAACTCTGGCTGAGATTCACATTAGAACTGTCATGAAATCAAGCCAGGCTATCGTTTTTTTATTCTGCCGCCATGTCAAAGTGCTATATTTACAATTTTTTGTGAGTATTTTAGTTTTTTAAAAAAGCTTTTTAATGAAAGAACTTCTATTTGGTGTCTATTGAATCGAACTCAAAAAGCAGGGCTAATATCCAGTTCTTGATTAGTTCTTCCACGATTACCTTCTTATTCTTTGCATTTCGAGCTTCATCATCCCATCAAACTTGAAGACAACAACGACTCAATCACCAACAAGAAGATATTACGTATAGAATTTTTGTTCAAAATACTAATCCTTCAAATTGGGTAACAGATAGCTGACAGCTTGCATAAGAATAGCAACGCCATATCCCAAAAATGCTGCAATAAACTTGTTTGAATAGGACAGACATGTGATGATCATGAGAAAGTTTGTGAAATGAACTTTACCAAAACATCCTGTATCAAATCCAATGAAAGTGTGTCATAGAGGTTTTTGGTATCGCTAAAATTTTAAAATTGAAAATTATAGGGAGAGTGGCTACCATCTTTTTTATTAAGTGTAATTGGCCATCTAAAAATGTTTATTTTTTTTAATAAAACAATAAAAATAAGTTTAAAGTTTATTAAACAGATAATTTTCGGTTTACAAAAATAGAATTGATTCGAGAGTTGGTTACGCGTGGAAAATGATTAACACCCCCACAGTGCTCATAAAAATTGATGCCCATTAATTATGCGTTATTTTTTGTATTAGATAAAATAGTTTCGGTTTGAAATTTAATAATAATTTTCTTCACTTTTTTACGAAGAAAAACAATTTTATTAAAAGTCTTTGTTTAGTAATATTGTAGAAATATTTAATTTAAAGAATCACCTTAGAGTTCTCCAACATCTAAGTAAAACTTTAAAGATAACTCTTTTCGCTTAAGATTCACTACGACATTTCTTAAAAATGAAAAAAATATTCTTTACAAAAGATAATTATTGGTGACTTTCTAATATTTAGGTAAAGTACTGAAACTTATTTCATTTGAAATGTTATTTTTGTTCTATTTTATAATTTCACATTTTAAAATTACATGTTCTTTTTTCTTTTTAACATTTTATGTGAAAAAGCCAATGATAGTACTAACTATTAGGTAGCAAACAATAATTAAAGACATAAATATGCGAAATGAGTGCAAACAATAATAAATAGATCCATGTATATCATTTGATGCTATGCATGATAATGAAATGCAATTTGACATCGGATCCTTAAATATAAAGAAACCACCCTAGCTCCCAAATATCTTGATTGAGTTTATGTACGACTATCTATATTTAAAATTTCATTTTTAGTAATATTTTTTATTCTTTGTTTAATCTTATTACCATTGCGGGTTTAGGACTCATACGAAAAAAATTTTAATAAAATAAAATTTCTTAAATATCCAATCTTCTAAACGACACTTGGGATTCATATAAGATTTTCATACATATCCTTAGAATTTTGGATAGTTTTGGGAGTGGACTTAGGTCAAGGTTTTCAGAGTTTGAATGATTTTGTGTGGTGATTTAGGATTGTGAGTTGAATTTAGGGTTTGGGTTAAATTTAGGGTCTTTGTGAATTTTTAGGATTTAGGGTCTTGTTTTAGGGTTTTAGGTTATTGTGATTTTAGGGTTTTGGAGTTTTTGAGTTTTAGGGTTTGGTGTTTTAGTGTTTTAGCATTATAGGGTTTTGGGGTTTTTGGACTTTGAGGGTTTTAGGGTTTTAAATTTTAAGGTTTCGAGATTTTAAGGTTTCAAGGTTTTGTGGTTCTACGATTTTTGAATGTTTTAGAGTTTTAAATTTTAAGGTTTAGAGGCTTTAGGGTTTTAAGATTTAAGGTTTCAAAATTTTATAAATTTATAGTTTTAGGATTTCAAGGTTTTAGGGTTTTAATGTTTTAGGATTTCGAAAAAAAAATTTTATGAGAAAAATAAGAATTATCAATAACTCAAACTTTTTCAATTATTCTCAATATTTAGGTAGACTTTCGAAGTAAGTTCAGTTTTTGTAGTTTTTTTTTCCTTAATAGTTTTATATTAATGCGACATGAAACAAATAAATTATAAAAACGAATGCTAAAAATGAGAACAACCGATTTAATCAATTTTATACATATTTTATTTCTATTTACTTTTTACCATTTTTTTTCTAAAATTATACATGAAATAAATTTTATTTGTTATTTAATTTACACATGTAAATTTTCTTTACATTTTAAAATTTAATTTAATTTAACTTAATCGTTTTTTAATAAATTTTTTAAATCTTTGATTCTTTAATTTCTCAATATCTAAATGGAATTAATTTTTTTAAAACTCGATTTAAATTCCTTTTAACATCTAGGTAAAGTCTCTAAAAATCATTTCATTTTTTTTTTTTGTATAATAAAGACATTAGTATTATCATTTTTTCTTTACCACTAAATTTTCAAAATTATTTGCATTATTTATTAGTTTCATTATTATTTATATTTATTTATTTTCGCTTTTTACAAATTTTAACAATAATAACAAGTGTTAAAATGATTAAAAGTGATAACATGAAAGGAAATAATAATAGCAAGTAGGAAAAAAAAATACATATCCAAATAAAGCTTTTGTAATTGACTCTAATACACCAATGAAAAAGCTTAAATCCGGTAGCCCAATTTTTTAAATAAAGCCTTTAGAATAGGACCTAAAGCTTTAACAAAAAGGGCTTAAGTTTGACAGCCCACTTAAATTAAAAAGATTTGGGTTAGGCTTGAGTTGACTTATGGTTCGAGTTGGCTTACCCATTTCTTCTTTTTTTTTTTTGAATTTTTTTAAAATCTTAAGCTAACCGAATCTTTCCCCTAATTTCCTTTCACCTTATAAAAAAAAATCCACTTTTTGACTTTTCAACCTTCTTTTCTCCTTTTTTTTCTTCTTCTTTCTCTTCCTTTTTCTTTTTTTTTTATTTTATTTTCCCTTTCTCTATGTCCTAGACCCGATGCTTACTTTTTTTTTTTCCTTTTTCCCTTTCTTTCTCCTTATTTTCTTATTTTTTTCATTCTTATTCTATTTTTTTTTTAAGTTAACGTTATGCCTTCATCGATTTTGTCACCAATCAGCATCTTTCTCAACCCGGTTCTCCCTTTCTTTTTCTTCTCCTTTCTTTTTTCCTTTATCATCTCTTTAGTTTTCACCATTTAAGCTACTCATCATTTTCTTTTCTTAGTTACAATCGAATGGTACCTAAAGAATCACCAAACAAGATTTTTTTTTAAAAAAATTTTTTTACTGTTAGGTTTTTCACTAGTGAGGATTGTGGTTTTTGTTTTATGTTTTTTTTTTTTTTGAATAGAGGATAAAAGGAATTTTTTTTAGTTTTTGTTTAAGGTACTGTTAATAGGTTTTGGTTTTGACCTTTTCTTTTTTTGGTGATAAGTTGAACGAATTCGATGGTGGTCTGAGGTTGGTGCGAGTAAGAAGTGGGCTGCTGGAGGTTGTGGGTCATAGAGTGAGGTTGGTTTTCTGGTTTTAGGGAGTATGGTGATTATGGATTTCTGGCGCGATGATGGTTTTTGGTTGAAGTTTTTTTTTTTTTTTTGTGGTGATGCCAACAGTGATGGTGGGATCTTTGGAGACTATAGTAGTCGTGGCTATGCAGAGAAATTAGGTTATGGGTAATTTATAGAGGGTTGTTTGGAGTTGAAAAATTTATGAGTGGGTTTTGGTAGGTTGTTTTGGTGTGACGTTGGTGATATGTTCTGGTAAGGATTGGTGCTAGGCTGATGCTGATAAGGGCAAAGCTAGTTATGAATGGTGTTTTCAGCTATGATGAAGATGATAGTTTTCCTTTGATAGAATGTGCCTTAAATTTTTTTGTGGTGTTGAATCTTATTTTTTGACTATGAATTCTCTTAGGATTTTATGAGGAACCCAACAAAAAAAATTCTCTTTTTACCAGTGAATTTAATTTTTTTTGAAAAAAAAAGATTAAGGTTTTTAGCTTGATATTGCAGCAATGGCTACTGCAATTCTTGATTGATGGGTTTAGATAAATCTTTGCAATTGTGTTGTAAGTGAAAATTGAAGGGTAAAACAGATTAGCTGAAAATGGAGTTTGCAATTTGGGATAAAGAAAAAGCAAATTGGGTAGAAGGGAAAGTGATGGGAGGCTACTGTCACGATAGCCGACCCTCGATCTCTTTCTCTCTCTCTTTTTTTTTAAAGATTAAATATATATTTGGCTTTTGGGCTTGTAAAAAAATTAGCTTTTACTAACATTTGGGTTTTTATAGGCCTAAACCAAACACTCAACCTAGTGTTAAATTAGATTCAAATTGAAATTGGACCTAAAATTGGACTTTGGATTTGAAAAATCCATTGTAGATTTTTATCAGGCCCTCAAGGCCAACCAATGTAAAACCGAATTGATCGGCCCAAGCAAACTGATCTCAAATTTTAATACATGATTAATACGAGCCTAATCAAATTAAAATACTCGAATTGTTTGAACATGATATGTTCGAACCAAAATCGTAAGTTGAACACGATCGAACTCTCGAACAAAATTAAATGTATGCAAAGTTTGGGTATAGTTTGGAAGGTTTTGGTGAAACTTACAAACGATTCCTTTACCTGCTGCTAAGTACCCTTGAAGCTGCCAAATCTCCTAAACTATTCTTAGACTAGATAGTTTATGTGTAATAGCAAATATTCTTAAACCCCATAAATCCAAAAAGAGATATGCAACTTGCCATCGGCCATGGGGCAATTTCACATGGCTGATTTTAATGTGGTTTTCCAAATAAGAAACAGAAAGAGGAACCAATAGAGTAGCCAAGACATAATCTAATTAATATCGAATCACTTCATCTGTTCAAGAAAAGATTTGGATTGGCACATGTCTACCCTCCCAATGATGAGATATAGAGAGTGACATATTTTCCTTAATTTATAACATGTTTGAGCTACACTTAGGCATGCCCCATGGCATATGCTTAAGGAGAAAAAAGGTAAAATGCATATACTTCAAGAATTATTAAAAACCCATTAATTTGTACTATAAACTGCTATATGTTATTATTAAACATGCAAGAAACAAAGATTACATCTCCATCTCTCCACTCATAATACACATAATTATATATACCATAAGTTACTTAAAATCTTACAACAGTCTGCACTCACACATAATTATATATACCAGAAGTTACTTAAAATCTTACAACAGTCTGCACTCACAAATATTTATATATAGCAGCTAAGAACTATATATAAGTCTTTTCTCCTTATGATACTAATTATTACATAACAGTAAAGTATTGTAGATCACTGAGATGATCAAGGGATTCCAATGATGGGGACGAAAGGAATATAATAGCTAGATGGTGCAAGACCCCACTCTCGGGGTAGAGGCAGATCAATGGTCTTAGATGAACCGATCTGGTTTGGAGCTCCACATTTAGCATCTTTGGAAGCCAAAGGGCACGAAGTAGAAAAAGCAAGTGGAGTGGAGATGGTGTAGGAGTTCAGTTCATGGGCCTTGACAACTTTTGATGCCAGGTTTTTCTTCCAAACATAGAGCTGGTTCGGACCACCGAGGAGCTTTGCAAAGCAGTTGAGAGGTTCTGGAGTAGTCTTTGAGGTGTCAGATGGAAGCTCAACCTTGAAAGAACCATTTTCTTCTGTGGTTGCTGTGGCTAATTTTTTCACTTGACCACACTTCACTACGATCTTGATGCCTGAATTAGCAAAAATATGATTTAAAACAACTAGGAACTGCCAAATTTTTGTTACCCTGAAGAGTCAAGCAAGTACAATTTGCTCTACCATTACTGTCAAGCTGAACAACAAAATAACATAGGCTAAGGCAGAACCTGATAAGTTGTAATCGGGATTGCAGTCAAGGCAGGAAATTTTGCCCTTGAGAACTTGGCATGTTGAGAGCTGAATCCAAGCAAGACCCAAGAGGAAGAAGAGTGCTGTGATCAATGAACGAAGTGCCATTGTAATAAGCAAACACCAAAGAAGTTTCAGTATGAATTATGGAAGCTAGATAGCACATATTGCAGCTTATAAATACTGGGGAGTTACAATTAGCTAGACCATATTTAATGAAGGAACCAAAGCCTGAGTTCGGTAGTTGGTGTCAATTTACTGCAGTAATGAACTAACACGGGAAGTCCCTTATCTTCTGTAATAACCAATGTAAGTTTACATACTTTTTCGATAACACAAAAATTAAGCCTATAGTTATTTCCTTAGAGCAAGGGAGTAATAATATAGTAATATTATTTTATCCGTCAATCTATTACTCATAAATGAAGGTACATGATTCTTCATTAAAGTCATATCACATTATCATGTATGTTTGTGTGAAGCAACAGCTCTATAGAATTATTTCTCTTCCAAAAATGGCATAAGACGTTTATTCCTGTGAATAGTTCATGGATGAATAATCAGATTTTAGTCCACGTTATGGTTTATCATTTCTTGAGCAATAAAGGCAAAATTAGATAAGATAATTTATGTATTTATATTGTATTAAATATGTATAAAATATAAAAATTATTATATTATAATTCATATCAAACATTAAATATAAAACATATATTTTTTATTTTTATCAAATTCATATACGATTTTATTAAAATTTTAAATAGTATCACTTTTTTATATCATTTTATATTATGTTATTACGTCGTGTCTAAAATTAAGTAAGATTTTCAAAAAATTAGTATAACTACCCTTGTGACCTGACAAAAAGCAGAGAGGGGCTACATGCACCGTAGTTTTTGCTCTTTATAGTTTTTTTTTTTCAAAATTTTTTAATAAGTAAAATTATTTAAATATATTTTTTATAAATTTTGGATATTCATATTTAGTAAGTTTTATAACTTTTTAAAAGTTCATTTTCAAAAAATTATATGACTTATAGGAAATGAATTTACGTAAAAGGCGATACTAAAATTTTTTAAAAAATTATAAAAAAAGGAAATTTTATTAAAAATTGTTATGAATTAGAATAATAAAAAAAGTTATTATTAGAAGAAAATTATAAATTTTAAAATTAATATAAAAAAGTTAAATTTACTATTTTAGTTTTGAAAAAATAATAAAATCTTATGAGATTCTAATTAATTATTTCATCTCTTGATGTTAAGGAGGGTGATAAAAAAATTATCAAATCTGATCAACATATAAAAGTTGAAACTATAAGTAATAATATAGTATCTTATATATATAATTTTATCAAAATCTAATATGTTAATTGTAGAAGCCATTGTGATAAGTAGATGGATATATTTTTCTAAAATGTTCAGTTTAGTTAGAACTATTATAAAATTTTAATAATTGATAAAAAATAATAAATTTTAAATTTATAAAAAATTACATTTATTATTATATCTTTAATTTAATTAGGATCTCATAAGATTTTATTCTTTCTCTAAAATTAAAATAGTAAAAGTAATTTTTTAATTAATTTTTAATTTATGATTTTTTTCTAATAATAACTTTTTTTCATTACACTAATTCAAAAACATTTTAACAAAATTTTCTTTTTAATAATTTTTCATAAAATTTGATTCTACCCTTATTTAAAATGGATTTCTAGAAAGTTTTTCATAATTTCATTTTCTATAAGTTATATAACATTTCAAAAATAAATTTTAAAAAAATTATAAAACTTACCAAATATAAATATTCAGAAAATTACGAGAGATATAATTAAATAATTTCACTTATAATAAATAAAAAAAATCAGGATGTAAAAAGAAAAAAAACATAGTGCATTAGGATGCACTCAAAAAAAAAAAAAGAGTAGTGTGGCTCCCTAATCTATAACTATAATTATATATATTACTAATGTTTTTTCCCATAGAATTCTAGACATATATAGCCACTTTATCATCACTAAAACACCTGGTTATGATGTTGTCTTCTATAAAAATATCATTCCAACCACTTTTTAACCTAGCTTTTATAATTCGTTTAAGTACTTACTTCAATTCTACTCGTTGACTTGTGTTTCCTCTTTCGGTGCATTGGAAGATCCGTCTGAGACTTGGTTGCCCTAAAAAGCTGACATTTTCTATCATATTATATATATAAATTAAATACATCATTTTCAACTATGTTTAATATAGGAAGAATTGCAAGCTAAAGTTTTCAAAATTAAACTACCAAAAGTGTCGTATTGAGAATTATGTTGAACGTGGTTTTAGGCATCGTTTGTTGATAATGACAAGTGCGTTGGAGATTCCTTTTTCTCGTACTGGAAAATTGATCGGGACCCAAACACTGCTGGGAACGGGACCTTGCGATGAAAGGAATTATGCTTTTTCCCATACTCTCTTCTCTTCTATTATGTAAGAGAAATTTATCCCTTAATTTGCCTTATCCATAAGATATCATATCTCAAATTGAGAATATATATATATATATATATATAATTATGTTGCCTGGTTAATTATATATTATTTTTATATAAAAAATTATCATAGTTTAAAAATTAAAAAATTAAAATTAAAAATTAGTAAAAATTATTTTTTAAAAATAATTATATGAGTAAATTGAATTAAATTTATAATTTATAATTTTTTTTATAGTCTTCCCGTATCTTTTGGCCAAGAAACTTTTTCTTGACGTTTAATAAACCCGTACAATGATATATATATATTTTTCTTTTGCATGGTTAAGTGCCAATAAATGAAAATTGGCAAAAATGTAAAACCCTAATGTCATTTTTAGCTTAGCAAAATGTAGGATGAGATTTAACGTCCCACTACTATTACTTATTTTTCTACCCGTAATAATTTTTTTTTCTCGATATTGTAAAGATGTAAATAATACATTAGTACTCGTAAGTTATTCAGATTTGATTCGAATAAAATTTGAATTCGGTTCAATTATTATTGAGTTCAAGTTTGAGTAGTTCGACTTATCAATCGAGTCAAATTCAAGTATTTTTATACCTGATTCGAATAACTCGCGAGCTTAATCGAATTTTTATATTTAAAATTTTTTATTATTTTAATTAATAAAATATCTCAAATTTAAGTTCGAGCCTAAATAATCGAGCTCTTATGAAATATAAGAATTAAATTTATTTTAACATATCAATTGAACTTAATCGAACGAGTTTGAATAATTTGATTTTAATTACGAATCGAGTTCGAATTAAAAAAATAAAACTTGATCGAATTCGAATCGAATATCGAATCGCGAGTTGAGAGTTAAACTCAAATTCAAATTTTTTACTGTATCAACTTAACTCAACTTGATCATACCCATAATTAAAACCAAATTTAGTATTCAGAAGTCAGATTTATTAATTGTTTGGTTTGTCCTTGGTCACAAATGAAAAATTAGACAGGGAAAAAAATGCTAGCACTTTAATATCTGTGTGGAAGGTACAATTTTGAAGGTGTTATATTTTATATTTTGACGCCCCCAAAAGGGTTAAATTTTGAATTAAAAATGTCAAAATCATCAATTAAATGTTGCAGGTTACCTCGCTCCGGGAACACTTCCCTGCAATTCCTATTAGGTTAGATATTTAAAAATCTAACTATTAATTATATATTTTTTATAAAAAAAATCATAATTTAATAATATATAAAAAATTATAATTATTAATATTTAAATTATAAATTTATTAAATATTATTTTTTTAAAATAATTACATGAATTTTGAACTCAAGATTATATACTTTCATATGCCTCATTTCAAATTTCAATAATATTATTATTTCACATTAATTGCATTGCTATTTTTCTTTCAGTACCACAGCGCATTAATATACTGTCGGCCTCGACTTTTTCCCTTCACTGATGAAGTTCAACCATTTTCCTCCGGTGGTCCCTCATAAGTTGAAAACGTAACACCAATTATATTCGCACAAAGTAGTCTACCAAAACCCTAAGCCAGCAATCTAAATACATAGGAAAAAAGGATCATTTTCACATCATTTATTGGTTCTAGATGATGATATGTCAAAAGGGGTATTAATTTCTTACATTGATGAATCTCACACTACTCCTATGGCAAATGCACGATAAAAGCACTTCCAATTGGTATTTTCTTGAGTCCGTCGCATGCCTTTCTCGGCCTTTTGAGTTATAAGATCATGAGACATCTATGAGAAACGGCACAACGCACTATTCATAAATTCTATTACGATATATAAGTAAAGTTCCTAAATGCTAAAAGAATCATGCTATCGTGTTCGAGATGTTCGATTCCACCTATAACATTTACTATTCATGTTAAAAAAAAAAAAAAACAAATTTAATCAATGGATAATGTATATAATTTCTCGACTTCCTATCTTAATTACTAGATCAAAACTTGTTTAAGTAATTAAAATTAAATATATATGTACATAATAGTAACAACTTTTCTTTCCTTAAATTAAATTATATGTTGTGGCCAAAAAAAAATTTAAATTATATGTTATAGTGTACATGGAGGATATTACGTCCAAGTAAATTTTGAAATACTCTTAACTGTATTATAAGAAAAAATTATATATTTAAAATAAAATATTTTCTTCATATTTTCTAAAATTATGAAAGAAAAAAATTTGACGAAGGAAACCGTTAGATCAGAAAAGAATTTAAGAGAAGCATTCTTTTCTTGGTGTATGTTCTTGAAGAAAATAAATTAATTTTAGCAGCAATATCTTTAATAGGTTAAAAGGTAACTTTCCTAAAGTCGTTTTGTGGTTTAGTCATCCATATCATATGAAATATTATCTAGCAATATCAAGCACATTAAAGTCATAATCTACCAAACTTATTATGATATTGATTGCTTGCAACTGATTTTGGCCTCTTCAACAATGATATCCAAATTTAAATAAATTGATAATATTTCTAATCTTTTATTATCAATTTTGATTTCATTTTATCTTAAAACTTCTGGACGAATGCCCTTTAATTTTTTGGTTTATGTTGCATTGTGAAAATATAAACTTTTTCAATGGCGATTGGATCCAACCTCAAGTATAGTTTGTAATTTTGTATATCCATTGTGAAAACCAATAAAAACATATTGTTTATGGTCAATTAATAATTATCATCCTTTTTGATTTGTGAGAAAAATTTACACGAAGTTTTATAGTTCGTGAAATTCT